GAACTCTCTGACAATCGACTGAGTGGACCTATTGTATATGGATGCTTGGTGGTTTTAGACAGCTTCAGTTTCAAATGATGGTTTCCCATCAGCCTCATCATGACCCCAGGTATAGTATTGGTGTATGGTGTCCTTGCAAAGAGGAAGTAAAAGCAAGACTTCTTTGAGAGAACAAAGTCCTCCTCAGACATAATCCTAGCATTAGTGTAATTTGCTCTGAATCATTTGGGTAAAGTCTGTGCCTCACCACTTGATTTGGCTGTGATGATGTGCTGTGGAGGCTGGTTCTCGAGTATTCTCAATGGTGGGCTGCCAGAAGTTCATCATTGGGAGGGGAGGGGAGGGGTCCTGTAGGGCAACCTAAATCTCCACCAAGCAAACTTGGTTGCAGGGTGACTTTCTGTTTGACACTGTTCCAAATATTAACCCATTGAATGCCATCACTCTCAAAGATAGATGCTGTTATTATTCCTGAGTTAGAGGAGTAAATGGGGCCATGAGGCAGTGGAGGAGCCAGGGCCCAAATGAATCGGTCTAACTCCGAGTTCACATTCCCACCAACTGCATGGTGTGGTAGATTTGTCCTCAAGTTCATGGCACCCCATGCATGGGAGTGGAAAGCGATTCTGTTTCCCACTGGAAATCCTCCTGTAATGGGCGAGACTAAATGTGAATGACAAAAGATGAACACATTTCCATTAAAACATTAGTGGCCTGTGGAGCATCAGACTAAAGTAAGGCATTCATTTTATTTGATTTTCTATCATTCAACCTGTATTTCTTTGAAAAGTTAAAAGTGCTAAAAAACAATTGGTTTAAGGATAGATGATATATTTCAACCATTACCCAGCAAAAATATTAGTGTATTTAAAAGAGAAACCAGCTTTCTTATTGATAGTAAAAATGTATGATTGTATTTTATGTCCAATAATGCTTTAAATCTGAAACTAGTTTCCTTTAACATGTTATTATGTTTTTTGAGGTGTGTGTGTGTGTGTGTGTGTGTGTGTGCGTGTGCGTGTGTGTGTGTGTTGCTGGGGATTGAACCCAGGGCCTTGTGCATGTGAGGCAAGCACTCTACCAACTGAACTGTATCCCCAGCCTATTATTCTGAAAGCTCTTATAGATGAGAACAAATTAATAGGACATCCATCTTAGACAATGACAAGTATTTTAGATTTTAGCAAACATTTGTTGAGGGCTTAATATATTCAAGATATAGTATAAAGAGCTCTAAGAGGTTAAAAAAAAAAATAAGGCCTCTAGCCTGTAGGATTTTATTTTCTATTAGAGACAGTAATTCCAACATCTAAATAAATGATGGAAAATGTGGGTGGAGAAGGGCTTTGGGAAGAAGAGGCTTTTGACTGGAAATCAGGGCAAATTTCAAAGGATTTGAGTCATAGCTCTATGACGGCAGACCCCAAACTCTTTATTTTGGTGTCCCAATTCTTAACACAAGATCTGGCACATACAGGAAGCTTGGTTCAATGTTGTTTGAATAAACGAATAAGTTGGACCTAGATGATAAGGTATGAAGACTAAAAGCAGAGATAAGAAAGGATAATCTCAATCCAAGTTCACTGAGCAAGTATCCATTGTCCGTCTTCTCTGTGCCAGGCCTGTGCTAGGTTGGGGAAAGCGGCAAGGGCTGGAGCATGGATCCAGTGGAGCTTTGGGGCAAAGTGCATGGGGTGTATAGCATGGCTGGGTGTGGGAGGGAGTGGCAGATAAGGCTGGGAGAGTTGGGAGCAGCCTGTGAGATCATGAATGCTGAGCAGTTTGAGGAGAAAGATCCCCCGGATGTGTCTCTTAAAACTCTCTTACTGTCTTCTTAAAACTCTTTTCTTTGTATCAGGGATTGAACCCAGGGGTATCTAACTACTGAACCACATCCCCAGCTCTATTTAGTATTTTATTTAGAGATGGGGTCTCAGAGTTGCTTAGCACCTTGCTGTTGCTGAGGCTGGCTTTGAACACACAATCTTCCTGTCTCGGCCTCCCAAGATGCTGGGATTACAGGCCTGTACCACCGTGCCCAGCTCCCTTTTTACTTCTACTAAGCAAATCTTGGTTGATAGCTGATCATGTGCATTATGGTTCAGTATGCTAATATTAAAAAAAAAACTAGTTAAGAGAAATGTATTCACTTATACATATAGTCATCCTAAAGTTTCCATAAGGATTAGTTCCATAATCCCTCTGGATACCAAAATCCAAGTGTGCTTAAATCCCCTGTATAAAATGGTACTTGCATATAACCTGCTCATTTTCTCCAATACTTGAAATTATCTCTAGGTTACTTAAATACCTAATATAATGTAAATACTATGTAAATAATAATTATACTGTATTTTTTAGAGAATGATGACAAAAAAATGTGCATGTTTGGTACAGATGCATTTTTCTATGAATATTTTTAATCTGTGTTTGATTGAACCTGTGGATGTGGAATTTATGGATATGGAAGTATTTCATCTTGTAATATTCTAGGTTCTGGGATTACTTGTAACTTGTTTCCATGTGTCTCCATACCTGTCATCTTAATTAGAAGTCTGTAACAATTAAAAAAAAAAAACCTCTTGTGTTTAACAAGTTAGTCTAAAATGATGTTTGCACATGTCAACCAAATTCTTTTGCAAAAACTAATTTTTTAATATTTTTTAGTTTTCGGTGGAGACAACATCTTTATTTTTATGTGGTGCTGAGGATCGAACCCGGCGCCCCACGCATGCCAGGCGAGCGCGCTACCGCTTGAGCCGCATCCCCAGCCCCCAAAACTAATTTTTAAACATTCAAGGAATTCATGAATCTAAGAATCTAGAAAGATTTTAATCCTAGCTTTTCCTTAAAATTGCTGTGGAACCTTGGCATAAGATCTATGTAAATATAACTATATATGTATATATGTATATATGTATGTATGTATATAGATCTACGTAGATATAGATGTCTATATAGCTATTTTTATCTGTTTATATATTTACATCTCTGTCTACATCTGTATACATGTAACTATCACACTATAATAGGTTATAGCAGATAGAGTTGAAAGAAGTTTTGAACTTTGCTATCAAGAGAACTGGTGAATCCCAATAATGTTACTTATTAGCTATATGTCTTTAGGCAAAAGGTTTAACTTTGAATCTCAATTTCCTCAAAATGAGAATAACAGTTCCTAACTCATGTCTGTGAGAAAATCGTAAGAACACATATTTGTTAAGCAATTGCTAGGTGTTTTCAGGAAACTGAGTCGCTGGTCAATGAAGTTGTACACTCATGGCCAAAGCAGAGCTGGGTTGTAGCCTAGACTATCTGGCTCTGAGCCTCCCTTCTGTACCACTCAGATCTTTTTTTTTTTTTTTTTTCGGGGGAGGGGGTATGGGGATTGAACTCGAGGGAACTTTACCACTGAGCCATATCTCCAGCCCTATTTTGTATTTTGTTTAGAGACAGGGTCTCAGAGTTGCTTAGTGCCTTGCTTTTTGCTGAGGCTGGCTTTGAACTCGCTATCTTCCTGCCTCAGCCTCCAGAGCCATTGGGATTACAGGTGTGTGCCACCACACAAGGCCTGTTAGACCATTTTTAAAGTTCTCTCCACAAATTTACCTCATAGGTAATCATAATAAAAATGCTCATTTTTTTTTAATCTTCCAGGGCATTTGTGAGACTAAATTGGGATAGCACTATCACCTTTTTAAAGTTAAAATACCAGCTACAGAAATGTAAAAGCGTTTACTACTTTTAGGGTCTACATTTTCAGGGTAGTTAAATTTTTAATAACCATTTTTCCCCTGATTATTAGTGATATTTATGTTCAACATAGAAAAACTTTAAAAATAAAGAAAAAGATGAAGTAAATCAGGATCATCCATAATCCCTAAAGATAATAGAATTATTAGATTGTAGTGAAATGAATACATTTTTTATTTCCTAGTTTTTAAATTTAATTTAAATTTTTGGCAGTCCAGTGTTATAACAGGCAGCAGTGCTGCTTTATAGGCCATTTGGAAAATTTATGTCACATCTTAAAGTTGTTTAATCATGACATGTCTCTGGCTGAAAGTTATAATTTCTCAAATATAAAACCTCAAGGAGAAAACGAAAAATTATTCTGAACAGAAGACAATGTGAACAGAGTTTGGAATTTTATTTGGTCTCTTTTGGAGAAATAAGTAATATATTATTTTCTTCAGGTGTATTGCACCAGGTCACAATAAAACTTAGAACACCAAAGAGGCAGCAGGGTGAGGCCTTTGAATGAAGGATCATAAACATTCTTGAGCTTTTTCTACTTGAGGAATCTTATGTATTTGCAACTTTTTTTCTTTTTTTGGTGTGTGTATGTGTGTGTATGTGTGTATACGCGCACATACTAGGGACTGAACTTGGGGGCACTCAACCACTGAGCCACATCCCCAGTCCTGTTTTGAATTTTATTTAGAGACAGGGTCTCGGTGAATTGCTTAGCACCTCCCTTTTGCTGAGGCTGGCTTTGAACTCACGATCCTCCTGCCTCAGCCTCCTGAGCCGCTAGTATTACAGCCGAGTCCAACCACCCGGCTGGCTGTATTTGCAGATTTGAATGAGAACAATTAATTTTTTTAACCTAGTTATCCTGGCATTTGTGAAAATGTATCTTCCACACCCATATAATAAGAGTGAAAACTATTTTGAAAACCAAACCCAAACAAAATAATCCCCAAAGTTGAAAAAGACTCCTTGACTATCTTTTAAGACTCTGAAGAAAGTTATAATAGAGGAAAGCAGTTAAATGAAATTGCAGAGGGCTCCTTGGAGATGTCAGCTGACAAGTTGCTATGAATAGGGGAACCATGAAGCTTCTGGAAGACCGGGCTGTTCCACAGAGGGGAACTGGCCTGAAGGAATCCCGTTTTACTAGGTTTGCAACTGGATATCATCCAGTGATTCTTACTGGTTTGGAAAGAGATGGTTTTAAGACTGACGACTAATCACGTTTATCTGCGGTTTATTCACAGGAGTGTGTCGAACAGCAAGATGTCTCCGGCGCTCCTTCGCTCGCTGTGTCTTCTTACACTTTATTTGGTAAGAGAAGAGGGTGTTCTCCTCTGCTTGTTTACTGGAATATTTTCTGTCATCCTTCTACCCCATACTAGAGAAAGAATGGTTATTATCATTTCAAGAGGCGTCCTATCAAAATCACCTTGCTATAGAATGGGCACAGTGTTCGGATGTGACAATTCCAATGAAGTGGGTACCATCATGTCTGTCCTGTATCTGGAGGAGGCGCTTTCTCCTCAGCGTTTAAAACCCAATACCAGTACAAAGTCTAAAACCAATCTATCCTTTGTGTGAAGACATACAGTTTAGGGAAGGAAAGAAATTATAGTGACACATGTCTGAATCTGTATTCCTTAATCCTGACTTTTTTTTTTCACTTTGATCATGAATGACCATCACTGAAATGTACCAAGAAAATCATTCCCTCTATTTTCAACTCTTCTTTGCTCTGTTTCTTTTTTCTTGTAATAGAAGTTCTGGAGTTCTCTGGTTCAGTTGTTGTTAGCCATTTGTTGAGCTAATCCATGGACTGATTGGTTTCTAGAGTTTGGAACCAAGGGGGGTTAGAGTCTCTCCCTGGACCTTGGGGAGAGAGTGGGAGCCATTCTTATTTTACCCATGAGGCTCCTGAGGTTCACAAAGTTTGCCCAAAAGTTCGTTGTATTATGAAGCAAGGTTATAGGGGCACATCTGTTTTTTTTTTTTCCCCTTAGAAAGAAACTTTAGATCCACACACCTCAAATCTTGCTTCCTTTCTTCTGGGATTCCAAAATAATACACCAAATTTGAAGTCCCAGAAAGTCCCTTAAAGCTCACACAGCTCAACATCTTCATGGAGTGAAATAGTCCAACTTGCCAAACCATCTGAACTTCCTCCAGGGGAAGAAAACACAGCTCAAACTTGGAGCCATGTGCGTCCTCACAGTCTGATTGCTCACGGCTTGTCCCAGGATTGTATAAGGGCTGGGACGAATGTCCCCATTGGACTTCACTATCCTTCCTACTCTCTCATTTGACTTTCTATCTACATGACTTTATGGTGGCGGTAAAGTCAGACCTGGTTCAAACTTGTTGCTACCACTTATCGCTGGTGGGAACTTGAATGAATTATGTTGGATTTGGACCTCAGTTTTCTGCCCTTTGAAATGGCTTGAATGACAGTACTTGCCTTGTGGGATATTGTTGCAGTTAAATAAAATGCACTTATAAAGCTCTTGGGTCAGTGACTCACAATCTTAGAGCTCAATAAATATTAGCTGTTAGTGTCGCTATAGCATTTCAAATGTTCAGTGTCTACAGCCATATGGACTCTGACCTCCATGAGAGGACTGTATAGTGATCTTTGCAACAAACTCGGCACCTAGCACAGTATCAGAAGCAGAAGAAATACATGATTATGGACTTGCATCAAGAAGCAAGAGTGAGATTCAAGAGAGAAGATTCTAACACAGTTCTTGGCTATAAGTGAGCTCATTTACTTCTTGTCTGAGAAGGGGACATGCATTTTTCTTGCTGGATGAAGGTGTCCTTTCACCACTTTCTACCACACCATCCTTCCCAGTTCTTCTGGTGTGGCCTGATGACTCATAGCATGCACATGTATTTTGAAATCTTTATAGCCCCAATAGTCATATTAATGGGCAGGAAGAAAGATTTGTTGCCCCGATACAAGGATGCAACTTTGAACCCTGGAACTATGACCCAGCCCTCCTTTCCGGTGGGTGGGACAGCTCGTCCCCATAGGGATATGGAGCCTTGTTAGTGAGGTTTGCTAGCTAAGGTAGTTTCACTGGTGTGAGCATCTCAAAGGCTGTCTGCTGGCTGGAGTGAGCACAGAGCTGATGGTGGTGGGTTGCTGTTAAGCAGTAGCTCCACCGAAAGCACTGCCTGCATCCTGGAGCCACCAGGGTGGCACCTGGACATCAGTACCAGCTCTTGTGTCCCCACCCCCCAAGCAGGAGAAGAAGTGGAAAGAAGGCTGAGCCCTCAAAGGAAGAAAACTTAGTAAGAACTAGATGGCTAGAAGTCTGTAAAGTTACTGAGTAAGTGTGCTTTTAGCTGCAAGTAACAGGAAATTTGACTCTAGAACTTCTTGAATAAAGAGGGGTTTGTTTTCCTCAGATAATAAGAAACCCGAAGTGGTTAATCCAGGGCGGGTGGTAGGTGCAGCAGTTCCGTGAAGTTATCAGTGACTCCGGCTTATTTCTCTTTGCTCCAGTATCTTTTGATCTGGTTTGTGCCCTTGTGGATCCTGGTGGCTGTCCTTGCTGCAGACATGAGGTCCACTAAATCAGCAGGAGCCACAGGGAAGGGCGGTGACACCCACATCTTTCCTCCTCCGTCAGGAGTATAAAATGCAGAATTCCCTCTTATTTCACAAACCAGAAGTGGTTGACTTGGCCACCATTCTGGCTGCAACAGAATCTGGAAGAGATGCAACTTGACTTCCAGTTGGTGGAATACAGCAAAAGAGAGGGGTTGGTAATGACCAAGGATAGCAAACACAAAGATCTGCCACAACTCAGAAGAGCAAGTTTAACAGCCTTCTGTTTTTGTGTGTTACTATTTTTTTTTAAAATCAGACTACTAATATCAACTAGTTATGATTCAACAAACTGAGGGATTATATATAGGACTTTACTCATATTCTGATTATTTTAGGTGATCCTCGGTGGGCAGCAGTTTCCATGACAAGAGTGTGCTTGCTCTCCCTAAAGTAGAAAACACATTCTCTTCACCCTACCCAGTTCTCCCTTTTTTGATTTTCTTACTTGTCTAGTTTCAAAAATTGGCTTGTCATTCATGCTTCTGATTCTAACTTAACCTATGTCCTATTTCCACCAAAAATGGGAGACACAAAGAGCCACCCGGGAAGGAGGGGAGGTCAGCATCCCATATGGGACACCAAGTCCTTGGTCCTAGAGGGTGTCCCCACCGCCTGGGTGGCTGGCTGGCTATCCCTTCCTCTATACCCCTGCTCCACTCTGCCTGGCTTCTCCCTTCGGTAAGCTGTCATGGTGAGGAATACCGTGCTGGGAGGGCTGCCCCTGAAGGCTCCCCATTCTCCAGGATGGAAGTCACAACTTCTGGCACATTACCATTGCAGCTGGCTTTCCATTCAGGCTGCTTTTGTGTCCTCTGGTGGGCAGTGGCACATAGTAGCTAAGAGAGCCTGTCCCAGAATTAAAGATTTAAATTCTGCTTCTAGCCATGAATTGGGCAATATTGCTTCTCTTCCTCTTGAGTTGATCTTCTGTAAAAACAGATAATGGTAGAGTTTACTCTGGTAGAGTAAATCCTGCCACCAGGATTAAACATACCCATGACAGAGCCCCACATGTACTAACTTAGCAAATATGAACTCTTACTGTCACAACTGGTCTGGGTTTGTTTAAGGTCTTTAGATTTTAGAATCATTGTGAGGTCACTGCTTACAGTAAATATTTTGTGATTTTATGTTTCTAAATGAATATAAGGTACAACCCAATGTTAAAGTAGTAAGCTTTTTAAAAGTTTCAGTACAACTTGAGATTCAAATTGGACTAAAATTAACTACATATGCCAAGTAAGCCTGTGCTTCACACATCCACATATTTTCTTTCCTTATAGAATCAGTTGGCCTTAAGGTGACTATAAACTCTAGAATGCTGGGAATCTGCCATGGATGGCCTCATAAAATAGGAGTGGAGGGAAGTGTTTTTAGGAAGCCTGTGTAAAACCCTATGGAATTTAGAAGGCTGAGCAGTATTGTGAGAGAACTTGAGCTTTGGCTCGGGCATATCTGTGTCACTTATCTGTGTCACTCTGGGTTCAACTTCTCTCAGCCTCATCGGTAACAGGGGATGTTAATATTCTCGCCTTGAGCAACTGCAGAGATGGTTAAACAGCAAGAGCAATGCCAAGCCCACAGCAAACTGCTTTGACAGGGTGGTCCCTTTGCCAATATTAGATTGTTTTCTGCCTGTTTTGGCCAGATTTCACATTGTTTTTGAATCCCGTGTTTCATATTACTGCTTCTGAAATCCCTAATAAAGGCAGCCAGGGACACACGCTCATGCTTTCATCATATTCACTGATTTTCTCTTTCTTTGGTAACAGACAATTGGATATGGCCAGGAGGGGAAGTTTAGTGGACCCCTGAAGCCTATGACGTTTTCTATTTTTGAAGGTCAAGAGCCGAGTCAAGTCATATTCCAGGTAAGGTCTTCCCTAGACCACGGTCGTTTTGTTTTCTCATGTTCTCTCAGTGGAATTTCTTTTTTCTTTTTTGCTCCCTTCTCTACTGTACAGCAGGAAATAAAATAGAGGCTGGCAAATCTCATCAGGAATGATTTCAGAAGCCTAATTAAACAGATGAGTGGCTGCAGTATGTATGAGTCCTAGCGACTTCCTCAATCTCTGGGGTCAGTGCTCTGTCCCTCTTGCAGAGAGCTTGGTATCTGTAGGCTCCTCCCCTCCCCTGGAGTGGGAGTGGCATCAGCCTCTGGAAAAGGCATTGTCTGCCCAGAAAGCTCCCTGGTTGAAGTGTTGGAAGGTGGGGCTCTGTGTGGCCAAGGCCTACTTTTTCTTTCCTGCCTTCTCTGAGCTCAGGACTGGGCATTTGGATATGGATTGGGAGGTGGTTCTGTCATTTGGTTAGGTAACTGTGAAATGGCATCAGACTAAGGGGTGCCCTGAAGGAGGAGTGGAGACTTTAGCTATTAAGGGCACTGAAATAGTCCTGGGAATATAACGGAGAAGGAGAAACTCACACTACTGTTTTGCCAGGACATTCCCTTGGAAGCTGCTCCGTTGGAGGTGCTTTAATGAGTCCCTGGGGGTGGGCGGGGCAGGGCTCTTGCCCCCTCCCCACCCATGCATCAGAGAAGCAAACCAAGGTTACTGAATGACTTCTGAACTACATGCCTTCCATTAACTACTGAACATTGTTGGACGGTTCCTGTCCAGAGGGAAGGCTCAAAGCTGTTTCATTTCCCTTTCTCTCATTTGGAGCCAGATTAGTACACAGGGGCCCCCGGGTCTGCATCCCCTGGCAGGGATGCACTTGAACTGGGAACTGAGCTGAGCAGGGTTTTCCTGACCTCTCAGGACAGGGAAGCCTGGCACTGAGCAAGTGAGAATGCCTTGAGGGCAGGAGGCTGGCAGGAATCAACTTGAAGCGGCAGGGAGGGACGGTGTTCAGCAGAGACACAGCAGGGACAGCTGAACTTGCCATGGGAGAGGCAGAGCAGCAGCAAGCAAGGGCTGGCCGAAGGCCACATGACTGGGGAGGAGAGAACCAGGAGAAGGTGGGGCTGGGGCTTCAGAGACAGGAAAGCCCTGCCTCCGGAGGTGCGGAGGGAGTCCCCCAAAAGGAAAGTGTTTGAATCCAGGTTGTATTCAGAAAAGACCCCTCTGGCTGCAAACGGGGCATGGGGAACTAGTTAGGAGTCTCCTGCAGGGTCTCTCACAAGAGTTGAATTCTTCATTTTCTCGCTTTCTCTGCCCTGCCAGGGAACACTTGGTCATCTGTTCTATGACATTTTTTATTCATTTGTAACTCATGTTTCATAGGCCAATAAGAATTTTGTGTGCTAGGCAAACATTCACTTTCTTTGATTACCCACGAATGGAGTGCCTACGGTGTACCAGGCACTATGCCAGGTGCTGGGGATACCACCACTACCCCAGGCTCAGTGAGCTCACCAGTTAGAAGGTAAAAACTGACAAGTAGATCAGTGCATGCATCAAAGATTCCCGTGGAGTCTAGCGGGTGGCCAAAGGGCTGGTGAAGAAAGACTGATTTTTATTTTTAAACTGACAGTTGTACATACTTATCATATACAACATGGTTTTTGAAATACATATGCACTGTGGAATAGCTAAATGAGCTAATTAACATATATCATTCTTTGTGTGTGATTAAAAACACTCAAAAGGTAAGAGTAACCAGTTTTAACTGAGGATGGTGGTGGGGTAAATGGACATGGTTTTCTCAAGCCCTGGACTGAGTACTGAAGGATGAGCAGGTGTTCATGAACAGGAGGCAGGCACTGAGTGCAGCAGGGAAAAGCACAGGGGTATGCATTTAGCAAGAAAATGACAGGTGGTGCAGGGTTGAGGGTAGGAGGCGGGTGTGTCGGGTTGGCACACCTGCTGAGGTCTGCATGGGCTGGACCGACCTCTGCCCTGTGTAGGTGCTGTGTGCCACCGAAACGTTTCAATGCTGAGTGCTCTAAATAGATTTGTGCTTGTGCAAGCTAATCTGGGGCCACAGGGAACATAGTTGAAGGGGGTGAGCCTAGAGGGATGGAGGGTCTTAGGGGACTATTTGCAATAGTGCAGTGAGGAGTGAGAGGGCCTTGTTTAATGAAGGGCAAAGGGGTACTGTGGTCTGAATGTCTGTCCCCTCAAATTCGTATGTTGAAACCTAACCACCCTGGCAGTAGTATTAAGACTTGGGACCTAAGGAGGTAATTAGGTCATGAGTGCAGAACCATCAGGAATATGATCAGTGCCCTTTATTAAAAAAGGCTTGAGGGAACCTGTTTGTCCCCTCTGCTATGGGAGGATTCATAGAAGGTGTTATCTATGAGGAGCAGGCCCATTGGCACAAACCTGCTGGTGACTTGACCTTGGAATTCCCAGCCCCCAGAACTATGGGCAATAAATTTGTTGTGTTTAAGTTACCCATTCTAAGATATGTTGTAGCAGCTTTAATGGAGTACGATAGGGAGACTGGAAGGCAGGAAGACGGGAGCTGTGTGAAGGAAGTCATATATACTAGAATCTGTCACTGAATGGGTGCAGGAGGTGAAGGGGTGGGCTGCTTAGGATAACCCTTAGGTCTCTGACTTGGGTAGTTATTGGCTTATGTTGTGTGTGCAAAAAAGGGAGGAAGGAAATGGAGAAGAGCAATAGGTTTATGGAAAAGGAAGCCAGGTGGTCTGGACAGGTAGATTGGAGCATCCTGATCAAGTGCTTGTATGTGACTCGAAAGCCCATCCTTTGTGAGTTATCTCAGTTGCTTGTTGGGGTCAACGAGATGCTAAACAAAGCTATTTGGAGATGTGAAAAACAAGAGCAAACAAACCAACAAGGATAACAAAAATGTGAGGAAAAAGTCCCAACTGTACATGGGAAATTGGTTTCTGATACTTGTGCTCGGTATATGAGACAATAAGGAACAGTGGGAACTAAAGTCATCTGGGAGCGCACGGAAAGGGGACAGGCTCAATTCAGCTCCAGACAATTTTCACAAGTCAGAATTCAGGTACTGACATGCCAGATTTATCAATTTTCTACAAAATTCAGAAGTTTTTCTATTTATGTAAAATTCTCTGGCTTAGAAATACTAGCATACTGCCAGCCAGTGAACATCATTCCTTAAGCTTCATTTGTTTGGTTCTTTTTCTATTAGCCATGTTTTTGATGTTAATTCGAGTTGTATCACTTTCAATGTTTATACAAGTTGTATCCTATATCAGAACTTTATTTGAATGAGTGAATAATATTCGATTGCATGGATGTACTGCATTTTGTGTATTTATGTATTAAATAATGGACATTTGGGCTGTTTTCACTTAGGGCTATAATGAAGAATGTTGCTATGAACATTCATGTACAACTTTCTGAGAGAACAATGTTTTCTACTCTTGGTCACTCACACACAGTAGTGAAATGATTGGGACATAATTAACTCTATGTTTAACTTTTTGAGGAAGTACCAAATTGTTCTTAAGAAACGTTTATATTTCTACCAGCATTGTATGAAAGTTCCAATTTCTACACGTTCTCAACACTAGCTTTATCTGTCTTTTTTAATTATAGCTATCCAAATGTTTGAAGTGATATTGCTTTGTAGATTTGGATTGTATTTCCCGAATGACTAATGGTGTTGAGTGTCTTTTCATAAGTTTATTGGTTCTCTGTCTTCTTTAGTGAAATGTCTATTTGAATCATTTGCCTACTTAGTTGTATCATTTTGTCTTTGTTGTTGTTGTAGGAGTTCTTTGTATATTCTGAGAATCTGTATACAAGTCTTCCCCTCTCAGATATGTTTTGCAAATATTTTCTCATATTCTGTAGTTTAATTTTTTGTTTTAAACCTCCTACTCTTTCTCCTTTTGTGCAATTCTGGGGATCAAACTCGGGTTCTTGAATATGCCAGGCAAGTCCTCTACTTCTAAGCCATGCCCCTAACCCTATTTTTTTACTTTATTGATAGTGTCCTTTGAAACACAAAATGCATTTAATTTTGATGAAGTCTCATTTATTTTTTTAATTTTCGTTGTTTGTGTTTTTGAGATCAGATCTTAGAAAACTTTGCCTCATTCACGGCCATGAAATTTTATATATTCTTCTTATGTTTTATAGTTTTATATTTAGGGTCTTTGAAGCATTTCGATTAAGTTTTTGTGTATGTTATGGGATAGGGATACAGTTTCATTCTTCTGCATGAGGATATCCAATTGTTTCAGTACCATTGGTTGAAAATACGATTCTCATGAATTGTAATGCATTATATTGTTATATATAACAAATTAAAATTGAAAAAAGAAAATAAGATTTTTTTCCCTAATCTCACCCCCCTCGGCTGATAATGAAATTGGATGACCACAGTTGTAAAGTTTTGTTTCTGGACTCCCATTTATTGCATTGATCTTTTTGTCTGCCTTAAATACCACAGTATCTTATACGGTAGCTTTATATTACATTTGGAAATCAGGTAGTGTTAAGTTCTACAACTTTTTTTTTTTAATCTTCAGGATTGTTTGGTCTATTCTGGGTCCCTTGCATTTGTATATGAATGTTAGGATCAGTTTGTCAATTCTACAAACAAAGCAGCTATAATTTTGATAGGAATTGTGCTGAATCCCCAGGTCAACTTGGGCAGTATTGCCATCTTCACATTAAAACTTCCAATCTGTCAACATGGGATGTATTCTATTTGCTTAGATCTTTTAATTTTCAACAATATTTTCTTGTTTTCATTTTACAAGCAAATTACAATTTGTCTTTCATTACATTGATTCTGATGTCGCTCTTTTTTATCCTATTTTAAATGGCATTTAAGAAGTATTGTCAGGTTGCTCTTTACTGGTGTGTTAAAGAGATAATTGACTTTTATATATAGATCCTTTAACTTATACCATTACAGGATTTACAGAATTTGTTTTAGCTATTACCTATAAGAGTCCCCCACCCAAGCAGTTAGG